AGATATCAATTCATCATGTTGCGCATCTTTATATGATCCTTCTCCTGTCAGTTATACCTCAGTAGAGCCTGGGGGAGAAACGGTGCTGAAGAAACTGGGTATCTATATGCACAGGAATGGAGCTGGACCCTTACTTTATACTATATATAAAAATGAACTGAAAATGGATTTAAAACCTGAATGTAAGAGCTAACGTATAAAACTCTTAAAGGAAAACGTAGAGGAAAAAGCTTCATGACACTGGAATTGGAAATGATTTCTGAGTTATGAAATCGACCACACAGGCAACTGAAGAAAACTAGATGAATTGGACTTCATCAGTATTACAAATTTTGTGCATCAAAGGATAATAATGAGTGAAAAGAAAAGCCACAGAATGGGAGGAAATATTTGCAAATCATGTGTTTGATTAAGGATGAATATTCAGTTTATTAAGAACTAAAACCCAATAACAGCAAAACCAAATTAATTCAAAAAAGGACTTGTAATAGTTTAAAAAAGATAAACAGATGGCCAATAAGAACATGAAAAGATGATCAACATAACTAAACATTAGGGAAATGAAAATAAAAGCCACACTGAGATCAGTTACCCCTGCGGTGATGGCTATTAGCCGTTCAGTCAGAGGTAAGTGCTGGTTGGCTGTGGTACAGCTGGACCCTTGTGTACGGCTTGTGGGAATGTAAAATGATGCATCAGCTCTGGAACAGTACACTGGTTTGTCAGAAAATTAGAATTCTCATCAGACACAGCTGTTCCACTTCCCCATATATATCCAAAGGTGCTGAGAACAAGGATCTGAGATATGTTTGTACACAATGGTCATAGCACCATTATTTACAATAGCCTGCTGGTGCGACAAATTTTAATACATTCAGTTACTTAAAACATATGCCAAGGCCTGGTGCAGTGGCTCACACCTGTAATCCCAGCACTTTGGGAGGCCAAGGTGGGCAGTCCACGAGGTCGGGAGATGGAGACCATCCTGGCCAACATAGTAAAACCCAACCTCTACTAAAAATAGAAAAAAAAAAAATTAGCTGAGCGTGGTGGCGCACGCCTGTAGTTCCAGCTACTCAGGACGCTGAGGGAGAATTGCTTGAACCCAGGAGGTGGTGATTGCTGTGATCCACGATTGAAATGAGCCGAGATCGTGCAACTGCACTACACCCTGGGGGGTGACACTGCCAGACTCCGTCTAAAAAAAAAAAAAATTTAGCTAGGCATAGTGGCAGGTGCCTATAATCCCAGCTACTTGGCAGGCTGAGACAGGAGAATGACTGGAACCCAGGAGGCAGAGGTTGCAGTGAGCCAAGATCGCACCATTGCACTCCTGCCTAGGCAACAGAGAGAGACTCCGTCTCAAATAAATAGTAAATAAATAAAACACATCCCAAAGCAGCAGTGTTAAGCCATTTAGTGTGTGCTTGCTTTGTATACTTGGTGAAATTGTGCCCAATCTCTGCTAGCGATAGATAAGATAAACCCTGGGCTATGAAGACTGCAAGCCCCTGCTGCCCTTCAGAGCTCTGTGGCGCAGACACCTGGCAGGCTGCTGAGAAACCTGATCTAGTCACATGAGCCCTCCCCCACTTCTGATCCCCTTTTTCTCTGGGAGTTCTCTGTGCCCCCGCCATTTCCTCTCTTTTCTGAGTAGTGACCCCGGTTTGAAGCCTGTGGATAATCTCATGGTGCATGAGACTCCCCTCCCCAACCTGTCAAAGCTTGTGTGCTACTGCCACCTCCTAGGCACATCTTGTTCCTTAATCAGCCACGAAATCTCGTGAACACCTCACACGTGGTTTTGTTTTTCGTATTTAGATTATTGATCCGTTTGCAATTTATACCTGTGAGGTCCAGATTTAATTTCATCATTTCTCAGACGGCTAACCATTTCTCTTAGCACCTTTCACTATAAACTGCCTATTTGTCCCACTGATCTGAAATATGTTTATGAACCAAATTTCCATGTTATGGGGTTGATTTCTGGATATTCCACTTGTCTGTTTCCTGTTCATGTGCCAGTACCACACAGTTTTAATTAAAGAAGCTGTTTTCATATCTGTAGGGCATGGCGCTTGTTTGTCCGCGTCTTCTTCGTTATTAGATATTTGTTCTTCCATGTGAACTCTACTATCAACATGCCTAACCAGGAAAAAAGGCTTTTTTCCAAAAAAAAGCCTTTCCGTATTGTTACTGGAATCACGTTACATTTCTGAACGAACCTTGGGAGAACACCTGGTACCAGCAGTGCTATTTTGCAACGTAGTATTGGTGGTCCTGGCCTCTACAGTACATTAGAAAAATAACAGAAACGCGTATTTGAAGGGAAAAATATGAACATTTACAGAAAAAAAAATGCATTGAAAATGCAATGGAGTAGCCGGGCGTGGTGGCTCACGCCTGTAATCCCAGCATTTGGGAGGCCGAGGCGGGCGGATCATGAGGACAGGAGTTCAAGACCAACCTGACCAATATGGGGAAACCCCTGTCTACTAAAAATACAAAAATTAGCCGGACGTGGTGGCTGCTGCCTGTAGTCACAGCTGCCTGGGAGACGGAGACAGGAGGGTCGCTCGATCCCGGGAGGCGGAGGCTGCGGTGACCGCGATCGCGCCACTGCACTCCAGCCCGGGCGACAGAGCGATACTCAGTCTAAAAAACAAAGTTAGAAAAAAAGAAAATGCAAAAGAATCAACTGTAAGAGTTCCTTTTTATCTAAAAAGGAACGGGGCCAGTGACTCCCTGCAGAGATGGAGAGGGGACCGAGCACTCCGCACCGCGGCCTCCCGCTGCGGCCGGATCGCGCGCCGCGCTGGCGACGAGCACCTCCTGGCTGTGCCCGCCCAGCCTCGCGCTCTCGGTCTGTCCCGGCTCCGCAGTGGCGCCCGGAGGCCTGGTCCTCACGTCCGCCTAGTCCTCCGGGCCTGTCTCCGCCTCCAGCCCCGTTCCCGAGGCAGCCCCGCGACCCTTCCGCATCCTCACGGAAGAAACGACAACTTCCAGGCGCCGGAAGCCAACGGTTCGGCCCGCCGGCTGGAGGCGGAAGTGACGCCAGAGACGCGCCGGCATGTCTTCCGGCATCGGCTCCGCCTGTCCGGTAGCGGTCCCTGCCCTCGCGGCGGTCAGTCCCGGCGCTGGTGAGTTCCGGGCGTGCCCTGGGCCGTCCGCCGGGGTCCCGGCCCGGGCGTGGTCGCCCGCCCCGCGCCCCGCGCCCCGCGCCCCGCGAAGCGCGTCGTCGCCGGGTCCAGAAGGGGGAGTCGCCGCCGCTCGCGGCTGGTGGGCCCGGGCCGCGCCTGCGTTCCGCGGAGCTGGTGAGAGGGGCCCTCCGCCCCCTCGGTGTGAGCAGGGCGGGCTTTATCCGATCCTGGCACGCGGCGTTGGGATCGCAGCGTCCGGTCCATCCCGGGGTCCGGCCGCCGCTCCCTGTGCACGTTCGCGGGTGGGGACCGCGGCCGTCCTCCCGCTCGCGCTCACGTTTTGCTGTGGAAGAGCCTGAATCTGAAAGCGGAACTCCCGCCGCGGGGCTGTCCCTGCAGCCGCGTCGCTGGTCGTGGGCCGGGGCCGTGTTTCTGTCCGCCGCGCAGGACCCGTGTGGCGGGCCGCTGTTCAGTGTAACTGAGTGCAAAATCAACTGCGCGGCCGGGCGCGGTGGCTCACGCCTGTGATCCCAGCACTGGGAGGCCGAGGCGGGTGGGTCACGAGGTCAAGAGATCGAGACCATCCTGGTCAACACGGTGAAACGCCGTCTCTACTAAAAATACAAAACATTAGCCGGGCATGGTGGCGCGTGCCTGTCATCCCAGCTACTCAGGAGGCTGAGGCAGGAGAATTGCCTGAACCCGGGAGGCGGAGGTTGCGGTGAGCCGAGATCGCGCCATTGCGCTCCGGCCTGGGTAACAAGAGCGAAACTCCGTCCCAAAAAAAAAAAATAATAATAAATAAATAGGCCGGGCGCGGTGGCTCAAGCCTGTAATCCCAGCACTTTGGGAGGCCGAGGCGGGTGGGTCACGAGGTCAAGAGATCGAGACCATCCTGGTCAACACGGTGAAACCCCGTCTCTACTAAAAACTACAAAACATTAGCTGGGCATGGTGGTGCGTGCCTGTAGTCCCAGCTACTCGGGAGGCTGAGGCAGGAGAATTGCCTGAACCCAGGAGGCGGAGGTTGCGGTGAGCCGAGATCGCGCCATGGCACTCCAGCCTGGGTAACAAGAGCGAAACTCCGTCTCAAAAAATAAATAAATAAATAAATAAATAAAATAAACTGCGCACATGATACGTAACCTTTGAATACTTGGTGAAGCATCTCTTAAAGACAAAAACGTTGTCCTGCTAAACCACGGTACTAGCATTTCTCCTAAGAGAATTAAAAATAACGCGGCCATCCGCTGTCTACTCTGTGTAATGCCTAGAACTCTCAACGTTGTTCCAGCATGACGCTGTTGGGTATTTTGGGGACTAAGAGCCGTTCGAGGGTCCTGCATTCCCACCGTTAATGTCTTAGTGTCTTTTCAGCTGGAACTGTTACTATCATTTCTCTAGCATGTTGCCTTTGGTATTGTTTTCTCTTGGTATGTTTAAATATCCCTCCATTTCTTCCTGCTTCCTATGAACCAGTAGTTGAATTCAGAGGAGAGGCTGGCAGAGGGCGGACAGTAAGTACCTTATGGTTTGGGGGCCACGAGGCCTTAGTTATTGAGTCACTTTCTGTCCCGTCCTTCTCTACTCTGTACTGGTGGCAAGCCACAGCTCATTTCTCAAAAGGCCAACGGGCATCTGCATAGATGGCCGTTTAGAGGTTGTAGATTTACTCTAAAGTCCCGGAGGGCTGTGCTCTGAGTCTCATCCGTGCCTGCTAGAGGCTTCCAGCAGAACCTGTGTACCACGGACACCGTCATTGGGTCTGCTGCCTTATCTCCACCAAATGCCTAAGAAGCTTGTCCTGCACCTGAACTGCACAGATCCACACTTGTCACCGGCAGCCTCATAGGCAACTGTATAAGAGCATTGAAGCTGTTATATACATTGCCTCTAAAATTAAAAGATCTGCAAAATGTCGTGGTTCTTTTTTGGTTATAGGTTTTACGAGGTGCTGTAACTTTGGGGTGCATTTTGGAGGGGATGTCTTTATGTAATCCAGGCTACTGAACTCACGGAAACCAGCCCCTGAATCCCAATTCCTCTATTCTTTATGTTTCATATGAAGGTGTCTAAAACGGGTTGATTTCCTGTTCACTGTATCCAGCCAGCATAATGTCATCATAGCATATAAGGGCAGTCTGAAAGTTGGGTCCTCTGGGGATGGTAAGGCAGAGAACGGAATTTTACCTCCCTTTTTGAAACAAGGAAGGGAGCTGTACGGGTGGCACCAAACTGAACACATGTGGGCCTTTTCCCCGTCTCAGACACCCGGTAGTAACTACAATTTATACTAGGAGAATGGACATATTTTTCTGACCTGTGAAGCATTACTGCTTTAGTCACCTCATCAGTAGAATAAGAAGGCACGGCTCTAGGCTTACTTTTGTCCTGCTGGGGAGTGATCACAGACTCAGGTGCACAAACTGACAAGGAGGTTGAACTGTACTGGCCAGGTGTCTTGGTTTACCACCTCCTGAGTGGATGAAGTGGGACGAATTCCTGTTGTCTGAGTCCAGGGCATTTTAGGTATAAACCCAAGTGAAATTCGTGAATGGCTGTTCTGATAATTAAATAAGGCTTCCGGTGCATCTTCTGACCCATATACTGCTCTTGAGTAGACAATACGGGTATCACTAGTCCTCAAGAGAGTAAACAGGATGCAGTGGCTTTCACATATGTCATCCGCAGAGACAAGATCATGCATGAGGTTTGTTAACTGGGAAGTAATGCTTCTTACTTTTGGTTGGTAGGAAATCGAGATCCAGCCATCCCTGCATCAGGAGAGAAGGAGACTGCACCATCCACAGAGGTTCACAAGCCGCCCTTGCAGCAGCCTTGGCCTCAGGAACGGAGCCTTCAGACGTTCCCATCAGCCTCCCAGGATGGCAGCCCCTGACCTGGCCCACAGTGAGTCCTGGTGTTGCTCTTTCTCAGACACTTTGCTCTAGGTCCTGATACACAGTGTGAGTCCCACGGACAGGCCTCAGTAGTCATGCTCCGGGTTCCTATCATAGCCGCTGGAGTGGGCCAGAGAGTGCGGGCTTGTCGGTCAGCCCCGGGTGTGTGTGCTGTGGACAGGGGTCATGCATAAACTCCTTCATGAGTTTTCTCGTCATGGGCACATAAAGAGTCACGTTCCTTGGGGTTTGCGTTTCCATATCTGCAATAGGAGACTTGCCATTTCCTGACGGGCAGCGTAGCTCACAAACCTTTTGTATCACTGGGTGACACAGGCCACCCCGGCACTATGTGGCTGTGTGTGTGTGTTTTCCTGAGTGTGCAGGAGTACATGGGAATTTCCTGCTAGGATGGAATGACTTCCGGGTACGTAAACGTCTAAATTAGGGTCAGCTGTGGATTCTCATGCCTTCTTTATTTTTTAGGAGGTCATGTTTCTAAGGACTTAGTCTGCCTTCATGGAGAACAGACCCAGGCAGCAGGGATGTTGGCTGGCTGGCTGATAGATTCTTATCAGGTATGCCAAAACCATATGTTTCTAAAAATAGCATACTGGTATTCATCAGCTTGACACATTTCTGTCTGGGCAGACTAGCCCCCACTGCTCCTTAAAGCAAATAAAACCTCACTCAAGGACTGAGTCCCTAGTGGAATCCCCCAGGAGCAGAGCCTAGTTGGTCAGGTGTTACTGTGAAAATCCTCCCAGTATTTCAATGTTACCTCGGCTCATGGGAACCTCTGCCTCTCGGGTTCACAATTCCCCTGCCTCAGCCTCCTGAGTAGCTGGGATTACAGGTGTCCACCACCACACCCAGCTAATTTTTTTTATTTTTAGTAGAGACTGGGTTTTACCATGTTGGCCACGCTGGTCTGGAACTCCTGACCTCAGGTGATCCACCAGCCTTGGCCTCCCAAAGTGCTGGGATTACAGGTGTGAGCCACTGCGCCTGGCTTCAACGTTACTTATTATTTTGACCCTGTGGCACCAAATGCATGGTTCTTATTTTGCTGCTGCTCTGACACATGGTAAGGAGGAGAGAGTGTCCTCTCTGAGAACTGATTTCCACATCACGACGTATCACTTGCCTGTACTGTGCTCAGGAGAGGGACGTAAGGCGAGAGGGGCGCCCTGTGGGGTTGAGGTGAGAAAAGTTCACATTAGAGGGGCCGATCCAGCCACGTGATGGGGGACGTTGACATTGCGTGTGTGGACAGAGAAGGGCTCCCAGGACCGTTGGGCCATGGGCTAGACAGTGAGAGGCCTCACGGTCCCATGGAGGCCTCATTCTCCGGGGAACACTGATGATGGGTCGAGCAGCTCTGACCGTCACGTGTGATGATTTAGGACTCGGTGACCTTTGATGACGTGGCTGTGGACTTCACCCAGGAGGAATGGACTTTACTGGACCCATCTCAGAGAGACCTCTACAGGGATGTGATGCTGGAGAACTGTGAAAACCTGGCCTCAGTAGGTGAGGGGCCTCCATTCTCGGCAGCTTCCGCAGCATCGATACATGTTTCTCCTTACTGCGCTCCAGGGTTGGTGATGGCAAAGCCGAGTACTGCGGGAAGTAACACATAGCGACTACGCGAATGGGCTTGAAACTAGGGTGGTAGTTTCCAGAATATGGCCCGAGGGTCAGGACTGTCACATCGCTCACCTAGAAATGCGCATTCTCAGACTGCACTTGTGACACACTGGATCACAATGTCCGCTGGGGGGGCCTGTCATCTCTGTGTAACAAGCCCTCCGGAGGAAGCCAATTCACTGTAACACTGAGAACCACTGGCTAGTAGTTTCCCAAATGAATGAAAATCTCTTTGTGCTTACATTGTTTCCTATTTCAGTAGGAGTCTTAGCGGTGTTTACAGGTGCATTTCAGCCTGAATGCGGTTCCAGTGCTCAGAGATAACCAGTGTCTTTGAGGCACACAAGGATGGGGTATTTGCACTTGGAGCTCTTTCACGGCAGTTTCACTGCTTTCTTTAATAATGTAGCTCTTGGCCAGGTGCAGTGGCTCAGGCCTATAATCCCAGCACTTTGGGAGGCAGAGGTGGATGGATCACCTGAGGTCAGGAGTTCGAGACCAGCCTGACCAACATGGAGAAACCCCGTCTCTACTAAAAATACAAAGTTAGGCAGCTGTGGTAGCACACGCAGGTAATCCCAGCTACTCGGAGGCTGAGACAGGAGAACCCGGGAGGCAGAAGTTCTGGTGAGCCAAGATTACGTGGTTGCACTCCAGCCTGGGCAAAGAGAGGGAAACTTTGGCTCAAAAAAAAAAAAAAGAAAAAGAAATGTAGTTATTTCATGGGTAGGTTTGTCATCTCTTGCCTGAATCTCTTCCACTGATGTCTCTTTCCCTGTGTACAGGACGTCACCTGTTCAAACCCAGTGTGATCTGTTGGCTGGAGGAGGAAGGGCAGCTGAGGGCAGGGCAGAGAGGAGTTCTCCAAGGTGAGTGAGTGTGAAGAGCATCCCTGGTTGATGTCAAGTTTGGTGGAAGGTTCCTGAGTGTACTTTTTAAGATGCATTCTGACACAGAACATGAGGCCATTGGACTCACAAGTTTTGGCGTATCCTGAGCTTCCCACATTTCCTTAGTTTCTGTCTGATCTGGACTTCCCTGTGATCTCATTAAAAACCTGCTCTTTTGTTCTTTGAGTTTGTGTGTTTTTTGTGGTTTTGTTTGTTTGTTTTTGGTTTTGAGGTGGAGTCTCACCATGTCACCAGCCTGGAGTGCAGTGGCGTGATCTCAGCTCACTGCAGCCGCCATCTCCCGGGTTCAAGCAGTTATCCTGCCTTAGCCTCCTGAGTAGCTGGGATTACAGGCACGTGCCACCACACCAGCTAATTTTTGCATTTTTACTGGAGATGAGGTTTCACCATGTTGGTCAGGCTGCTCTCAAACCCCTGACCTCAAGTGATCCGCCCGCCTTGGCCTCCCAAAGTGCTGGGATTACAGGCATGAGCCACTACATCCAGCCAAGTTTGTGTTTTTAATATATGCTCTTTGTCTAGATCTTTCTTGCTTTCTTTCGTTGATAATACTGTTTCTGTTCACCATCACATTAATTTTTTTATAGACTAAATTTATTTTAAAACCTTCTAAATTATGACTCCCAGTTCCTATATTCCAAATTTTACACATAGCCACACTCCTCAAATCTATCTTTGCTTTTTTTTTTTTTTTTTTTTTTTTTTTGCTATGTTTTATATGAAAACAAATAACAATGAGTTTGATCATTTTTAGGTCAATTAACCTACCGTTTTGTTCTGCAAACCCTTACTTTTTTTCTTTTATGCTTCAGAATGGCAACTTGAAAGCAAAGGGTCAGCACTTCAGCAGGACAGAGCTTGGTTCAGAGCATCAGATGAGACACAAATGGTAAGATGAACAAGACAGATGCTTTCATTTATCACACTCATAAAAGATTGTGAATTCCACTATAGAAAATGCACAAAATTGGCTGGGCAAAGTGGCTCACGCCTGTAATCCCAGCACTTTTGGAGGCTGAGGCAGGCAACCCACCTGAGGTCAGGAGTTGGAGACCAACTTGACCAACATGGTGAAACCTCATCTCTAGTAAAAATACAAAATTAGTTGGGCATGGTGGTACATGCCTATAATCCCAGCTGCTGGGAGGCTGAGGCAGGAGAATCGCTTTAACCTGGGAGGTGGAGGTTGCGGTGGTGAAGATTGTACCATTGCACTCCGGTCTGGGCAACGAGAATGAAACCCTATCTTAAAAAAAAAAAAAAGAAAGGAAAAGAAAATGAGCAAAATTGAGAGACTTTAGAGAAGCAGCATTCACTCAGGTGGGGGCTGTCTGCAGAGAACACTCTGAATGTGAGGAATTTGGAAGGAGCTAATCCTGTCTTCGAACTTGGTGCTGGCAGGCGCGTGCCTCATGCCTGTAATCCCAGCGCTTTGGAAGGCCGAGGTGGGCAGATTGCCTGAGCTCAGGAGTTCAAAACCAGCTTGGGCAACCTGGTAAAACCCATCTCTACTGAAAATACAAAACAAAATTTCTGTGCCAGAATGCGCCTGAAATCCCAACTACTTGGGAGGCTGAGGCACAAGAATTGCTTCAACCTGGGAGGCAGAAATTGTGGTGAGCTAAGATCACGCCACTGCACTCCAGCCTCGGTGACAGAGTGAGACTCTGTCTCAACAAAAAGAAACTTGGTTCAGAGTTTCTTCAGACACACAACAGCACACACGTAACGAGGTACTGAGATTGCAGGCTGTTTGGTGAGCACCGACAGGAGTCTTTTCAGAGTTAGAGCAGATGGCACAGGATTCTTGCAGTTGGGCGCATCATTTGACTTGAAAGACTTCCATGGGGCAGGAGCTGCATGCATGTTGTGAAAATGGCAAAAATCGTAATCATCACCGTCATACTTCTGTCTTCAGCTGGGTGAGATCTTAGAATAAGCCTCAGCAGTCCTCTGATGATCACTCATTCTTCACCAGCAGGCAAGAAGCCACAGTGGAGGGCAGCTCTGTGACCGGATGCAGTGTGGAGAGGCTGTCAGTGAGCCCTCAGATCTCAGCACACATGTGAGAACTCAAAATACAGGATACAGTTGTGTCTGTAACCATTATGGAAAAGACTTTTTAATTTCACACCAGGAAACCTTGTGCAAAGCTGGAGGGCAGTTTTCTGTGTTGGATCAGTGTGGAAAAGCGTTTAGCACTGCTCCAAATGTTGTTTACCAGCAAACATGCACTTGGGACAAGTCTTTTGACTACAGCAACTGTGGGAAAGCATTTCTTAACCAGACATACCTTCAGGGTCGCATGCGAACTCACAACAGAGAAGGAACATGTAAATGGAAGCAGTGTGGGAAGGCTCTCACTCACTCCCCAGGCCGTCCGGCAACTGTTGAAATGCATGCTGTAAGGAATCCTCATGTATGTAGGGAATGTGGGAAGGCCTTTGGATGCACTGCATACCTTACTAGTCACATGCGAATCCACACTGGCGAGAAGGCCTGTGAATTTAAAGAATGTGGAAAATCCTCCCCTATTTCCTCAAGCCTAACTCAACATGTAAGCATTCATGCTGCAGAGAAGCCCTGCGAATGTAAAGAATGCGGAAGAGCCGTCACTGGATGCTCAGGTCTTTCTCAGCACGTCCAAACACACGCTAGAGAGAAGCCCTGCGAATGGAAGGACTGTGGGAAAGCCTACAGTAGGTTTTATCTACTGAGTGAACATTTAAAAACTCACATGAGGGAGAAGCCCTTTGCATGTGTGGTTTGCGGAAAATATTTTAGAAATTCCTCATGCCTTAATAATCACCTTCGAATTCACACTGGAATAAAACCCTATACGTGCAGCTACTGTGGGAAGGCCTTCACTGTGCGCTGTGGCCTTACTAGACACGTACGAACACACACGGGCGAGAAGCCATACATGTGTAAGGACTGTGGGAAAGCCTTCTGTACATCCTCAGGCCTTACTGAACATGTGAGGACACACACTGGAGAGAAGCCCTATGAATGTAAAGATTGTGGGAAGTCCTTCACTGTTTCTTCAAGCCTGACTGAACATGTGAGAATCCATACTGGAGAGAAACCCTATGAATGTAAGCAGTGTGGCAAAGCCTTCACGGGGCGCTCCGGCCTTACGAAACACGCGCGGACACACACCGGGGAGAAGCCCTACGAATGTAAGGACTGTGGGAAAGCCTACAACAGAGCTTATCTACTGAACGAGCATGTGAAAACTCACACAGAGGAGAAGCCCTTTATATGTAAGGTATGCGGGAAGTCCTTCAGAAATTCCTCATGCCTGAATAAGCACATTCAGATTCACACTGGAATAAAACCTTACGAATGTAGGGACTGTGGGAAAACTTTCACCGTTTCTTCGAGCCTAACTGAACATGTGCGAACTCACACTGGAGAGAAGCCCTATGAGTGTAAAACATGTGGGAAGGCCTTCACCACGTCCTCACACCTTATCGTGCACATAAGAACCCACACTGGAGAGAAACCCTACATGTGTAAGGAGTGTGGAAAAGCCTTTGCTTCCTCCTCACACCTCATCGAACACAGAAGGACTCACACAGGAGAGAAACCTTACATATGTAACGAATGTGGGAAGGCCTTCCGCGCCTCCTCTCACCTGCGTAAACATGGGAGGATTCACACAGGACAGAAACCCTATAAATGTAAGGACTGTGGGAAAGCATATAATCGGTTTTATCTTCTAAAAGAACATTTAAAAACTTACACTGAAGCGCAGCTTTTTGTGTGTAAGGACTGTGGAGAGTCTTTTAAGAATTCCTCATGCCTTAACCATCACACTCAAATTCACACTGAGAAACCTTACTAATATAAGGAATGTGGGGAAGCCTTCAGTTACACTCACTCACGCTGAAGACATGAAAGATGTCTTGCTCCCCGGTGCCTATGACCTGAGGAACGTGGCCAGGCCGTCAGCATCTGATCACAGCCCGGGGTGAAGGAAGGCACCCAGAGCCCTAGAGCATCAGGACAGAGGAAGCCCTAGTGTTCTCTCAGGTCCTGGAAAATACGGACGGGACGGTATCCAGTGGAGAGGACCCTACTGCTCCGTGATAGGTGCAGTGTTGCTTTGAGGTTCTGCACAGTGCTGTGACAATCCCTTGTGATGTCACACTGGAGAAAACCTTAGGGAAGTGAGGATTGTTGGGAGGTCATTTTCACATGACATCGTTCCTCAGCCTTCAGTAAACACGGGGATTGACACTTGAAGTATTGTGAATGTACGGAAGATAGGAATTGCTTCCTTGTGTCCTGAAACCTCGTAGGCTAACAGAGACATGTCTTTCCGGGGGTTCTGTAGGTGTATTTTGAGCCTATATGATGCTGCACTGATCCTTCTTGGAGTGATGACTCTGCTCCAGTAGAAATTTTCCAGTCTGGTTATTACACTGTCTGAGTTTCAGCCTGGCCAAGAGTGGGTCTTGAGGATTCAGATGTCACCCTGTGTTAGCTGTGTGGGCTCTGGTTGGCTAGTCGTGCTCTTAGCATGACCCCACCTGTAGGGTCCCACACTGGCCAAGGTGGGGCATTACACAGCTCCACATTTCATGAAAATGCCCTTGTTCTTCTCCCATACCTGAACCCTTCAGATAAAACACCAGGTGCAAGGAGGGGCAGAGTGGAGAGGGGCAAGGTCAGAGGCCAGCACCATGAGCTGCCCGTTTCGTGGCTGTGAAGGGACAGCCAGCACCCCACACGCGGGGAGGTTGGAATTCTTGTACCTCAGGCAGTGCAGGAGGGTGAGAGCCCTGAGTGTCCCTGCTGACCTCCAGACCCTCTCCACAGTGCGCAGAGCAGTCCTGGCAGCTGCTGCCATCTGGCACTTCTGGGAGGGAGCTGTTTGTGTGTGTGCTGCCCCTTTGCATGTCGTGAAAACAGACCAGGGACACAGCTGGTCCTGGTGTCCATGGCACTTGGCGGCATCCCCGGCACTTCCTGGATGAGGCCTTAAAGTCACACAGCAGCAGAGCAAGGTTTCTGTGTGAGTGACGCGAATGTGTGTCCCCTGGCTGCCGCCACCTTGGGTTATATATTTTATGGCCCTCGGGGCTGCAGCTGCGTGGTGACTGGTGTTAAATCCCCACAGTATAAAGGTGATCTGCAAGGTGAACAATCAGTCCTGATGGAGAGACCTGTGCACCTTTGGTTACGTGTTTGTCGTGGAGAGGAGTGGGTTTTGCAGTGTTTCCCTTGTGGGGTTGAGTGTGGCTGTTTAGCCTATCTGTTGCCACCTTTAATTGTTGGCAGCGACACCAGAGGTCATCAGATGAGTGTGAACCACCTTGTGGGGCTGTGGTGGCTCCTAGTCGGGCCTCAGAGGCCATCCTCATTGGCTGAAAACACAGTTGCCTGAGTCCAGAGCTTGTGAGTCTCAGGTGACGCCTGTCCTGGTGCTTGGTAAGTCCAATGCACGGTGACGGCATCCTGAGCAGGTGGCAGCACAGACGCCGCCCTGCCTGACATGCTCCCTGCTGGTGGAGGCATCACCGCAACCCCAGATCTCATTATTAAGACGACTCCTGGCCGGGCGCAGTGGCTCATGCCTGTAATCCCAGCACTTTGGGAGGCCGAGGCGGGCGGATCACGAGGTCAAGAGATCGAGACCATCCTGGCCAACATGGTGAAACCCCATCTCTACTAAAAAAGTACAAAAAAAAATTAGCTGGGCATGGTGGTGCGTGCCTGTAGTCCCAACTGCTCGGGAGGCTGAGGCAGGAGAATTGCTTGAAACCGGAAAACGGAAGTTGCAGTGAGCCGGGATCGCACCACTGCATTCCAGCCTGGTGATAGAGCAAGACTCTGTCTCAAAAAAAAAAAAAAAAGAGCCCCTTCCCTTCACACGAGGTGACTTCACCCACTTCTCCAGAGCCCCTCAGAAGCAATGCCCATGGACCGGTGCCCCTAGGCACAAATTTGACATTTGAGATTCTGTGAGGAGCCTGAGCTTGCTGTCAGCCAGCCTGTGATCCTGCTGTCCTCTCAGCTGAAGCCTGCGGCCCCGCATGCCACGCCCGTAGGAGGATCTGGTAGTGTCTGGAATCTTGGTAACTGATAACACATGTTTTTGTTTCCCCAGGACCCACCTTGGGTCAGTCAGGCGCTCACCCTCTGGGGAGACCACTGTCTCCTCTCCCCTGCAGCTTCCGGGGTCCCCTCCTTACTCCCTAGGCTCGGCTTCACACAGCCTCTTTGCGTGGCCTCACCTTTCACTTCACGCCCTCCCGCAGCAGATCTGCAGCCCTGCCATCCTGACCATTGTCGGGCTTACCCCTTGTCATGTTTCCCACTGCCCGAGGACATTATCACTGAGCTCCCAACGTCTCAAAGTGATTGTCTTGAGTCATAGCACACGCTGTGATGTGGATGCGATTGGTTTGTCCTCACCAAGTCTCAGTGTGGCAGTGCTGTGAGGCGGGCCTGGTGTGGGTTTGGGTCATGGGGGCACCCCCCTGGATGGCTGGGTGCCATTAGTTCTTGCTCTGTCAAGACTGGATTGGTTGGTAGGGGAATGCGTTAGTTGCCATGAGTGTGGTTGTGATGAAGCAAGCTGTCCCTTGGGTTTGGCTCACTGCCCTTGACCTTCTCTGCCCTGTTTGACATGGCAAAAAAAGTCCTCATCAGAAGCAGGTTGGGTGCCAGTGCCATGCCTCGTGCAGCCTGCAACCATAAGCCAAGTAAGCTTTTTTATCAGTTACCCAGCCTCAGATCACAGCAGCGCGAACCAGACTGACGCCACGCATCATGGAGAAGTGGGTGATGGGCAGGACTGCTCGCTCAGATACCCACGTTCCTCCTTCTTACTCAGAACGTTTTCCATGCCACTAGGGCAACGTATTCCCTCCTGTGTGATCATCACCGTCGACATGCGAGTGTTCCTTGGCGTCAGGTAAAACATTAGGGGACCTATCGTATTGTGTTGTATTTTTTGTCTATTAGGATGCTTTTCATCCTGGGGTCTTGCTGTGGGGGCTAGACCGTCCCTCAAGGATGGTAATTCCTAAAGATGGTGACCAGCTTGCTGGAAATGCTCACTTCAGATGCAAATCAACCACTGCTTCCTTTCTCCAGCTGACACCCCAAACCTATATCCCTCCTCCCCGAAGTGCCCTTGGCCTGCTGGAAGTATGCAGGCTAGCCAGCTCCAAACTTCATCCTGCCCTGCCTGCCTTCCCTGGGGAAACCCAGGAGAAGGCTGTGGGCTCTGCCCCCCTGCCTCCTTCTGCCTCCTGCCCAGGTCTGCCACTCCCCTTGGACTCTGCCTGGAGTGATGTGTCCCCTTCTCTTGACACCGTGAGTGATAAACTTTCCATGTCAGGCACCTGCGTGTGTTCACTCAGTCACCCGCACACATTCCCATCTAGGCCCCAGGCCATGTTTCTCTCCCCACAGGTCTTTGTACCCAAGCACCTGCCCCATGACGGGCTTACCAACCCCGGGAGATTCTGGGATTATCTGTGAGAGCTGCCATGTGGGCTCCTGGGCAGTTTTATTCCTTCTCTCTACTTGTTCATCCTTATGAGGGAGTAACATTGTTTCCAGTGTGGCTGTAAAACAGCACCTCCCTGGGATGTTGGTTTGCATTTCTCTTGATTACTGATAGTATGAACGTGCTTTACGCTGGTTATTTTCCTCTTTGGATGAAATACCTGGTCTTGTTTTTTCCTGATTTGTCTGCTGTTTGTTCTTTTTTAGAAATAGCAAGGCTGCTGTGAGGTGAGTCACCACTTACGGCTTCTAAGATTGTAGAGGTTTCCACCTGACATGTTTTCACTTTTGTGATGGTGTATTAAGGAAAAAGATTTCTTCATTTTGGCATACTCAAATTCATACAGCTTTTATCTATCAGAAACTTTACTTTACTTTAAGGCCCTAAATATGCTGTAGTATTTTGGCTTCCGCAAATTTTTTTTTTTTTTTTTTTTTTTGGAAGAACACCCCTGCCCAGGCATGACCTCAGCTCACTGCACCCTTCATCTCCTGGGTTCAGGCGATTCTCTGCCGCAGCCTCCCGAGTAGCTGGGATTACAGGCACCTGCCACCACACCCAGCTACTTTTTGTATTTTTAGTAGAGACAGGGTTTCATCATGTTGGCCAGACTGGTCTGAAACACCTGACCTCAAGTGATCCACCCACCTCAGCCTCCCAAAGTGCTGGGATTACAGGCATGAGCTACCGCGCCCGGCTTTGGCTTCCACAGTGTTTGTTTTATCCCGGGTTGCTGTGCTTAATCCATCTGGAGTTGAGTTTTATCGATGATATCTGTAGAGGTCTAATTTCATTTTTCCCGCTATGAATATAAAATTTGTGCAAGACCTCTGGTTCGTTCTTTCTTTCTTTTCTTTCCTTTCTTTCCTTCTTTCTTTCTTTTTCTTTCTTCCTTTGTTCTTGTTGCGCAGGCCGGAGTGCCTGGTGCAATCTCCACTCACTGCAACCTCCACCTCCTGGGTTCAAGCAATTCTCCTGCCTCAGCCTCCCAAGTAGCTGGGATTATAGGCATACACCACCACACCTGGGTAATTCTGTATTTTTAGTAGAGAAGGGGTCTCTCCGTTTTGGTCAGTCTGGTCTCGAGCTCATGACCTCAGGTGATCTACCACCTCGGCCTCCCAAACTGCTGGGATTACAGGCATGAGCCACCACACCCAGCCAAGACCTCTGTTTTTTTGATGAAGGAAAGAGGTTTATTTGGCTCACAGTTGTGAAGGCCAGGAGGTCCCAGAAACATGGCACCAGCATCCGCTAGACTTCAGATGGGGGCCTCATACCGACTTCTGTTTTCACACAACCAGTAGGAAACAGATATCCTAACACTAGTGAAAGAGAAAATTTAAAAGTTTGGTTTTTTCCATTCAGTTGCCCTGGCCTCCAGGCAGTCCTGCAGCAACAGAAACATCATCAGCCTTCAGAGCTGGCCTGTGAGGTTGACCACTCTGCGGTTGGACAAGCCCCGCTCCTAGAAGAGACATGAGCAACACTGCACAGCCTTCGAGAAGGGAATTCACATTGAAAGCACAATCCTCACAACGTTCATTAAAACTTGCTGGCCAAACCTAACTAGGTCACTCGCCTGATTAACAGATATCTCCGTTAACCATGGGATTGAAAGAGCCAGAGTGTCATAATGTAAAATTCAAAAGTGTCCGTGATTACTCAGCATATGAGCAACAGCCTTAGGTATCAATGTAATGATATGAAACAGCTGACATTTGTGACATCAGAATCCTAGAAGGAAAGGAGAAAATGGGGTGTAGTCAAACCACTTGACAATATATTGATGAAAGACCTCTCATGTTCAGTGTAAGATATAAACTTACAGTTTCAAGAGGTTCAGTAAGCTGCAAGCATGATAAACCTGAAGAAAACCAAGCCCAGACCTACCATAATGAAACTGGTGAAAGCTTACAGAGAGTCTTAAAAGGAGGCTGAGGAAACAGACACAGTGCTTCTAGAAGGATAGTTCAGTGGATCAGGTTTCTCCTTGGAAGCCATAAAGGCCAGCAGGAAGTGTAGGAACATTTTTAAGTTCTGAAATAAAAAATGCCAACCCAGAATACTGTATCCAACAAAAGTGTCCTTTAGGGACGATATGATACAAAGAATAATTGCCTGAAGACCTGGTTTAAATAAATGGTTACAGAAGAATCTTAAAGAAGACAAATTGTACCAGAAGGAAACCTGGAACAAAGGAAAAGCAATAGAAGTGCCAAATAGCTGAGTAAACAGAGTATTCTACTCAGGAGTTCTTTAAAATATGCATGATTGCAAAGCCAGAAATCATCACATGGGGCTTCCATTTATGTGTGTTTAATACATAAGACAACTGCAACGTCAATGTGTGGGGTGACGTGGCTGAATGGTGTGGAGGTCCATGCTCCATTTCAGTGGCAAAGTATCCCAGAAAGACTGGAAAAGCTAAGTATGTATATTTTAGTTGCTAAAGAAGTATACAGCTGGGTGTGGTGGCTCACGCCTGTAATCCCAACACTTTGGGAGAGTGAGGTGGGTGGCTTATGTGAGATCAGGAGTTCAAGACCAGTCTGGCCAACATGGTGAAAATTAGCCAGGCATAGTGGTGGGCGCCTGTCATCTCAGCTGTGTGGGAGGCTGAGGCAGAGGTTGCAGTGAGCTGAGATTGC